AAACATACACTTGAGTCTATATCTAAGACCGTTATTTCTTAGCGTTACAAACGGTAAGGCAAATTTAGTATACCCTTCAAACATACGATCGTACGGGTATAAAAAGAATGTTAGAAAGCTATCAAAAAATTTAAAACTATAGTATGTTATTCGCATTGCATATAGAGAAAACAAAAAAAATACCACCAAACTACACCATCATTTCCTTAATAATTTCTCATATCCTGGACATTTAAAATAAAAAAAAAATTTTTTTTTTTTTTGAACAACAATGTGAACAAAATGTCTATCTATTCACGTTTTTGAAATTTTATTCACCGAAATGATAACAAGAGCAAAAAAAAAATTTTTCCTTTTGCATCCCATCCTGCTTCCTTTTCTTTTATAATTTCCTTAAATTTATTATTTAGACAAAAATAAAAAATAAAACAAACCATTACAAAAAATTAGAAAATAATGTTTAAAAAATGGTTTTGGTTTGTTTTTTTGCCTTGGTTTGCTTTGGTTTGCCTAACGTGTACGATTTTAGAATGTCGTCGCTAAACAATGAAAAAGCCAGATAAGATTTTTTTTTTTCATTCAAATTCGTTCATTTTATATTGTTTAGAATGTGGTTGGTTTTCTGTTTCACGCTTCGTATCTTTTATATATGTTCTCATTTTTTCACTATATATATATATATAATATTATTTACGCGTAACGGATTGTTACGTGTTAAAAGGTGCACAATCATGAATAAAGTTATAATTTTTTTCAAATATATTTTGTATGTTTCAAAAAACATTAAATGTAAAGATAAGAAATCTTTAAAAAAGATTTAAACAACAACGAACTTTAAAATAAATTTATAAAAGCAATGAAAGGGTTACCATATTATGGAAAATTATTTAAATAAGAAAATTTAAGAGAAAAATGGTTTTAATGTATTAAAAATGAGGCGATTTCGTCCTTTCAATTGAACGGACTCATTAATAGAAGATATTGTTAAATACAGCTGGAACACCATTGGAATCTGGAAATCTATTTGAAATACACCTAGAAAACTATTACCTACCTGGTAACTGGACCTATGTATTTATGAACTCTTACCATGATTTAAGAGTCCTTGGTTTTCATTCTCTCGTTTCAATTATTTCAATAATTTTCAATGAAAAAATTAAGAGTAAAACAAATATGCCTCATTCTTTTTTTTCTATTAGGTGAAAAATATCGAAAGACGAAGAAGACGGCGCTGCCTGCCTTTTTCTTCCGAGAGTGGGGGGGCGTGACACCTACTTTAAAAAGCTTTTAACCTAAAAGTCTGAATGGATAAAACTGGTCTTACAGACAAATCGTTATACCTGCGCTAACTTGGTGTTTCCGTACAGGAAATTGGTACTCTGTGTTAAATCGAAAGGTACGACCTAGGCGCCAATAATTTTCTGTATATTTATTTTCTAATTTTATGTGTTTCTTCTTTATATGCTCTCTTAGCCATAGCTTGACATCTAAAGTGATCCCTTTGTATTTTGCTGAGTTATAGATTGCTAAATTGTTTCCATTTAATTTAATTTGTGGTGGATTCACTATTTTTCGATTGATGAAGTTTATGTGAACCGATTTTTCTTTATTTAACTTTATTTCTCTCCGATCTCTCGTCCTCTGGCTTATTTTATTACTTGCCCCCTGTAATTTTTTTTGTCGAATCGTCAATGTTCGATCTTACTGCCAATATTGCAGTATCGTCAGCAAAACGTCGCTACCGTAGCATTTTTTATTTGTAGTAGATCACTCGTGTAAAGCAAATACAAAGATAGGCCCAATATACTGCCTTAAGGCACACCTGCTCTTATTTCTCTAAGCGTGGAGTATTCAGCTACTTGTTTAATTCTAAATAATCTATCAATTAAGTAAGATTCCAAAATTGCTGCGCAAATGGTGATGGTATCATTTGCCCCAACTTAAATATAATGCCTTTGTGCCATACTTTGTTGAATACCTTTGCTACGTCTAGAAATATAGAAGAACAGATTTTTTATTCATAATTGAAATTATATTTTCATAAATTTCTATTTTTTAATTAAAATTTTGAAATTATTAATTTATTAAATTCATAATGGTTTTGGTTTTAAATAAAATTTAAAACAAAAAAATACCAGTTTGGTTTTTTTGTAATAATTCTTGTATGTGTGTACACATTTTTGTGTTCTTTTTGAACAATATATACAAACACGTAAATTCTATGAATGTTACAAACCCAAAAAAAAAATTAAAATTAAATTTTTTTTTTTCTTAAATTTTAAATTAAAAATTCCTTAAAAAAATTATAAGCCCACCATCGCATAATGCATGACCGAAATTTTCTATAAATTTTCTTTTCTTGTTCCGAAAATGTTATCATCGTCGCCGCTTCCGTCAAATTCTTTTGAAAAGAAAAAAAAAATCTAAATGAAATGAACATCCTCTGATGAATTTAGAAAAAGAAAATTAAAAAAAAAAAAAATTAATTTTTATTTTTTCTTCCCAATTTTTTTCCTCTCTGTTTCCTTTTTTTTTCTGATAATTTCTTGTCTTCATGTCTTTATTTTTATATAGGGCAATTCTTGATCATATTTTTTAATAGGTCGTAAATCTGTTTAAATATTTCAATTTGCTTCCGGTTTTTTAATACATCACAGCCTACATATATATACAAGGAAATTATACAACAAATAAAGTACAATATTTTTTTTCTTAAAACCTATATTTCTCAAAAAAATAAGAAGAAGAAAAAATCATCTTATTTTCTAAATATGGTATTAAAAAGGATAAAGCTTTTGAAGAAGGGATTTTTCATTGTTTAATTTTTCATTTCATAAATACTTTTTCTTTTTTTTTTTCTTTTTGTTTTATGTTTATTTTTATTTTTCTTTTTTTCATTCTCTTGGTATTTCTTTTTATACGAGATTATATAACATCTTTAACATTATAATGTGAAAAGAACAAGAATCTTAGCATAAATATCCTTTTAACATTAAAAATATAGAAATAGGAAAAGGAGAGAGAGAGAGAGAAAGAAATATGCTGTAGGAATTTACAGTACCATCCAGAATTTCGGTAAAAATTTTTTAAATTTCACTCGATTTTTTCGTAAATGTGATAATTCATATCCTTGCCGGACAAAATATCATACAAATTAAAATTTAAATATTTTGGATTATGAAGTTCGAGAAATTTTTTTTATAAGAAGAATATTACTAAGCTAGATGGTTAAAAAATTAACAAAATGAACTAATTGAAGGAAAATAAACCAAATCGGATAATTAATAGAAAATAAAACATTAAATAGAAATTGATTAAAATTTTGGTTTACGGAACATTTTCTATCACAGAAAAAAACCTAACTCAAATTATATTAGACTACCATCAACAAATTTCGACTAGTTTCTATTCTCACATATTATTCTAATTTTATGGGTCTACCCCATGTAAATTGTATTAAATTTCAAAGACAACAGATACTAGTAAACATTTTATATATAATATGAACTGTAAAAATTTATTATTATTTTTAAACACTGAAGGATCAATAATATTGCTTAGCACTGTAGTTAAATTACATTTAAATATAGGGTCTACCACCTTAAGAAAAATATTATTTTATGTTTTTTTTTTTTTGTATAGGCTACCAAGAATTGAGAAAAGTACTTACAGTTTTTGAATTTTTTCAACATTTTCTTAAATAATTGTAAATTTCAAAAGATTTTTAACCATATACAAAATGAAAATTAAAGAGAAAAACCAAAATAAATTTTCGAGAAAACATTAGAAAAAAAAATATATTTTATTTAGGGTTATATGGGCGGTTTGAAATATCCTATTTTCTCTTAAATTTCATAAAAAAAAAATTACAGTGAAAAGCGTAAATCAATAGAAAAATATGAGTACCCCTGAACAGTTCCTATCCTCCTATACAACATCCTGCTGTACCATACCATAAAAATATTATAAAAACTCTCTAAAACAAAAAAATGTGGTTTAAAATTCTTAGAATTAATTTTCGAAACATTTGAATTTATAGGGAACAGAAAAAAAAAAGCAAGTAGCGAAGGAAACAGCAAATACTATGAGAAGATGAGGATAAGAAAAATTAGGGATAATTCTTAATTTCGCCACCTTAAGTGTGATAGGCTTCTCTCATTTTTCTCATTTATTTTTTATTTTTTTTTTTGCCTTCGTATTCTTAAATAGCTTTTAAATAAATATGAAAATTGTTTTTGGTTTTTGTTTATTTTTTTTTTTTGCTATTTAAAATTAATAAGGAAGATAGAATTACAGGTTTAATTCTTTTTAAAGGTGATCCTTTACACTTTGCGGTTGAAAGCTTTTAAAATTATTAAAACGTTATACATTTTTTTTTTTTTAATTTCTTTTCATAATTTTTCATAAATAATTTTCTAAAAATAATTAATCTTGTAAAATTTAATATGCTTTAAACAGAAGACTATTTGATAGCCATCTATTGATTATGGCTCGGTTCAACCGAACTTGAGATACTGACCTGCAAAAACAGATAGGCCAACACATAGACCATTAGACAGATAATCTAATATCTCTCTCAAAATAATTTTATTTATGCTCTTTCCTAGTATGTAGAAGTGCACTTCCGCCGTAAACTAAAAATGCGAAATTGTGCGCTATCACATAACCTCTCTAATTGTATGGAATGCCGTCGGTGAAAAACAATTAAGATTTTATGACAAAATTAATTTCTAACTAAATTGCACCAGTTCAGCACTAAGAATATTAAATTGTAATTAAAAATTGAAAATTGCAGGATTCTGCAGTAGCAATATACACACCTATACACAAATGTACTTATTTTACTTAGACATTTTATTTTATTTTAATTAAAATGTTACTAAAACTGGAATTTCATTTAAAAATTTTAAAAAATTATTTCATCAAATTTTTTTTTATTAAAAATTAATAATTGAGAATTAAATTAAATTTTTAAATTTTTATTTTGATTTTCATTTTAGTTACAATATGCATCAAAATATGCTTTTGGTTATAGAGTACGAGATTTTCATACTGGAAATGATTTTGGTCATAAACAGAAACGTGACCATGATGGTGTTACCAGAGGTGAATATCATATACTGTTACCAGATGGTCGAGTACAAAATGTTCGTTATACAGCTGATGATTCTGGTTTTCATGCTGATGTTAGCTTTGAATCAGGACCTTAAAATATTCTATATATAATTATCATTTAAATTTTTTAATTTAAAATTGTTAATTATTACAAAAAAATTCATGTGTTCAATAATTTAACCATCCTTTAGCATTTTATATAACGCATGCATATTTTTTTGTTTTTTATCATTTAAATTTTTATTTTGTTTTTGTTTTTATAAGTTATTTAAGTTCTATATTAAGTATACATACATAATCATCATCAATGAAATTTAATAGTCACCTTTTACAAAACAAAACAGAAAAAAAAATCTTTTAAGATCTCAATCTAAGAATCACGTCAAATTGTCACTAATAAATAAATCTAATTTTATGAATTATATTGTTATACAAATCAAAAAGAGTGGGATATGTGCAATTTTTTTAAAAATTTAAAATATTTTATTATTATACCTGTAAATTTTGAGAAATTTACCTTAATCCAGTGTTTTTAATATAAATTTTTTTTTTATATAACTACTGTGTATAGTCAAACTTTTATTAGCAACTTTGTGTAAATATTTTATAATTAATTACCTATTGTATTGTTATTACAAATATTTGTTTTTTTTTTTTTTGTAAATTTATTTTAAATAAAATTATATTAAAATATTTAAAAAAAATTGTAAATATTGAACACATTCTGAATAACAGACTGAACTGACATCGAAATTATTATTTCTATTTGTTCTATTTTCCTTAATGACTCACGCAGACAATCAATTTTTAATTTTTCAATTTATTGCTTGATTGTAAATTGGTTACGCGAACACATTCGAAATCAAGTGCGTTAACTAAAAATTGTAAAAAATTAGAAACTGTTGTATTGTATGCAATCATACATGCAGTTGGATGTGTTCGCGCTTGAATATAAATGAAATATGGAATACAAACAGGTAATCAAGTTGCAAAATTAAAAATTGCATGTCTGTCAGAGCCCTACAATATCATTTGATCGTAAATAATAATATAACAATATAGGTTTGGGTCCATGATAAGAGTCCTCCGCAATACTTCGAAATATCTTTGATTTTCAAATAACACATCTTTTATTTGTTTTTTAATGATAAAATTACTGTTCAATCTAATATTTTGTACTGCAATACAATAGTACAATAATTGAACGACTTTATTTTCGTCAAGAGATATGTTCGTCAAGACTCACATTTAAAACCGAAACCAAATTTTTTTCTATATTTGATTCGCTTCTATTCTATATATTTAACAGAAAATTAAAATATAAAAAATATTTCAGTAAACCATTCTGAAATCTGAGTACATTTCTAGTTATTTTATTTCATAAAATTTTACAAATTACACTTACAATTACAAAAATGCAAATTATTTAATTAAAAAGTTTTGCTTTTTATCTGATTTAAGATCATAAATAACTAAGTAATTTTCTAAAATTAAAAAAAAATAATAATAATTTTTTTTTTATCTTGATTGATATTTAAAATGTTTTCAATTTCATTTTATCAATTTGAAATTTCGATTTTTTATTTAGAAAACTTCTATATAAACTTTAATTGAATTTCTGATGAAAGTTTTTTTTTTTTTATAAAAATACAAAATAAAAGAAAAAATTCTAAATTAATTCAAGAAGTTTTTTAATTTTACTTCTAATCAATACTTTTATGAAATTAAAATTTATACAAATTAAAATTATATTTTGCAATTTGTAAAAATTTTTTTATAAAATTTAAATCAGAAAAATTTAAAATTTAATATTTTTGAAAAAAAAAAAATAGAACAAACATTGAGAACATTTGACAAATTACTGAAGATTACTATGGAAGAACAATTTTCGGTTTACAGCAATAATTATATTTTAAAAATCTTTAAGGCAATCTACCATTACACTCTTTAAAAGCTGGTTTTAAAAACTCGTAAGATTACTGGTACAAAAAATATAAATTTTACAAAATTGTAAGAGTGAACTCTGTATACATACTTTTTGAAAAAATTCGTGCTTTTGAAATTTCTCATCAAAATCTCTAAATTGAACTTATGCAATAAAATTTTAGAATGTAAAATGAATTTCTTGAGTGCAATATTACCTCGCTCCTATATTAAATATGGGGATCTACTCTTTTACCAATCGCAAAATAAATTTTAAGTTCACTTTTCATTTATAATTAAGATGCAAGTAGATGAAGGCCAATTTACAATTTAAAACTTAGCCAGAAAAAGTAAAGATCAATTTGTATTAGAAATTGTATAATTTAAATTACAGATGTATTCTATAGAAAAATCTGGTGTCATTTCATGCTTATAATAGAAGGTAACTAAATATTTCCTATTAATCAAGTAAATTTAAAGTATCTATTTTTAGCACTTTTCCAAAAATTTTTGAAAAAAAGTGCTTATTAGTCTTTATTACTCTGTCCTTCCGTCCGTCTGTCTGTCCGTCTGTCCGTCCGTGGACATGTTTCTACACCCTTAAAGACAGAGAGCTAAAAATTTATATGTACATAAATCTTTACTAGAAACTTATTTCCGTAGAACAAAAATTTTACCTATCTCCCCACCTCTAGAAGTTATACCCCCCCAAAACCCTAAAATGGTTTAACTTAATGGAAATTTCTTCATGCAACTGCAGAACAGATGGATGACGTAATCAAAGGAACGAGTTAAAGGCAGAAAAATTAATTAAAAAATTTTTCTCCTCTGGTTCGAGTCCAGTTCGAGGAGAACTCCAGTTCGAGGAGAGTCTAGTTCAAATTTTGCGAACACGGAAAACCAGTGGCTTGCTTCTCCTATCGTGGCATACTACAGTTAAACTTTAAAAAAGCAAAGTGGCCGTTCAAATTTACCGTTATCTAAAATCCGTTTTTCCAAATTTTTAATATCGTTTTTCTTCTACACTGTACGTTACAGGAGTCTGAAATTTTAGCAGCTCTTATATATTCATAAATAGTTTATTTCTGTAGGAGAAAATTTTTTCCCGTCTCAACCCCCTCTCAACTTATCGCCTCTTGTTAATTTGTAAAATTTGAATTTTTGACGCTTTATATTCCCGAAATCGGAAGTTTTTTCAAATTTCTATGAACGGAAAAAGCTAACGGTAAATTTAATCACATTAAAAAATATAATTATTTTTCTTAACTCACGCAATTAACTCTTAAAATTTAGCATTATGCTCAATCGTCTTTAAATTACTTTTTACTTTACTTCAAAGACTGCATAAATCGTTCATCCTAAATATATGCAATCCTAGAAATAGTTTCGTATATGAATGACAATATTTTTAATAGTGTGGTAGATATACATACATAGACTGTATTTAAAAGCAGCACTTTCACTAATTGTTGAAGGCAAAAGTGCAAACAAACCATTGGTTTGATTCAACTTTATTATATATTGAAATACTGAAGTACAGACGGTAATACTACTACATATTATCATCGAATTTAATACAGCTTGATCATCCTTTGTTATGACCGAATTTTTGCCTCAATCCTTTGTTATGCTAGTCTTATACTCGTGCAACATAGTCTTATACTCGTGCAATTAATCTTTGCAAAAACAAAAAGAAAACAATCTGGAATTTTTCTTTGTTGTTTAAACGTTAAAATATTCCTCAACTTTTTGATATTCTAAAATGACCACAATAGTAAAAAGTATGGTATTTTAATTGATCTTGCTTTACAATTCACTTCAAACGATTTTCTTTGACTTGATTATGATATTATTAACTGTTAGGCGTAAAATAATAAAAATGCTTTAAGGTTTTTATGTTTTGTGATATTCAAATTTCTGCCACACACTTTTGATAATAATTTGACATTATATGACACGTAGAAATACCAGCAAAAAAAAAACAACCATGTTGAATAATTATGGAAAATTTTGCATTGTCAGAAATCTTTTTAACATTAATTACATTTTATTTTTGGACAAGTGATCAAAAATAAAAATATTGATACTGATCAGGTTTTTTAATTTCTATACAAATACAAAATACCTTTAAGCTAAAAATGTCAAAATTTTTATATTTTTTTTTGAAATGCACGTACACAATTTGAAAATTTTCTCTTCCCTACCTTATAAAATTTTATTTGCAAAAATAATTTATTTTTACATATTTTGTCATTAAATAGGATGTTAATTTGAAAAGTTCATTCGATTTCATTCAATTTAAATCGAATAATTTTATTTCTTTTTTTATGAATAATTTTTTAATCAAATTTTATATTTAAAATTTTTATTATTTAAAGTTTGTATGCAAAATCAAAAATCTATTTGTAACTATTAATTGGTCATTTTTAAAAATTTTTAGAATGGTTTTAAAATTATTTTTGAAAATAAAATATTACAGTCAAACTTTGAAATTTAATTCGGACAGAATTGTCAAACGTGTTATTAAAAAACTCATTATAAATAAAAACAAAATCTTATGTGGTCAGCATTGTGGCGAAATGAAATTTAAGCACTTTTTTCACTTTTAAGGATGTTAGTAAGCTCTTAGTTTACTTACCTAGAAAAATGTAAATTTGAATTTAGTAGAGTTACTCTTTGTGTCATTTGAATTCCCTGATAAATTCGCCAGTGAGTTTCGGTAACAAATATTAAATTTCAATGATCTCCTCCAATTAGTTTCGTAGATATAGTTAAAAATATATACAATCGACCTCTAATTCAATTTCCGATACCTGATCTTTCCAAAAAATTTATAGGTTCATTGTTTTAATAACCCAAATTTAAATATTAAATTTCAAGAAAATTGATTAATAAACCGAATCCTCCCCTTTATAAGCATAAAAATGTAAAATTGAACCACAAATAGGTACAGTTGCCGAGACCTAAAATATTCCAAAAGTTGATCAATCCGTGATATAGCCAAAATAAACTAACATATGAAATTTTATCAAAACCAGATCAGCCGTACATGAGATACTCGAGTGTACAAACAGACCGACAGACAGAGAGTCATACTTTTTAAAAAGAGTTTATTTATGACCATGGAGAGGCGTGTTCCCATCGAAATCTCGCCATCCGATATTTTGTGCCGTCACATAACTTCACTCATTGTATCCAATACAATCGGTAATAAAATTCATAATGTGAGGACTACTCTAACTGTTTTGATGAGAGAGTTGAAA